GCTCGATAGCCTCCCCTGGGATAAATACTCCAAAATCATGCCCGCAAACCTTAGATCTCTGCAATGGCAAATCCTTCACAGTTGTCTTCCCACTCCCGATTGGCTCGTCTCAAGAACGAATCTCGAACAGAAAGGCCTGCTGTCCCCCATCTGCTCCTATTGTGGCAGGGCAACACAGCCTGCAACAGCGACACTCGAGCACTGTCTGTTGGCGTGTCCGATGGCTGCCCAAATATGGAGGTGGTGGGATGCAGCGTTCCACTCACTCACGGACATCCATATCCCATGGGACCTGGGCCTCATCCTTCTTGGCAAAAACCAACACTTGCTGGCGCACTGGACACCTTTTGCCGTTAACCTCTTCTTTTACACGAGGCTGCACGTACTCATGCAAGCCTGGAGAGCCAGGTGCTCTTTCGAGAGAAATGACCATCTGTTCGTCTCCAGCAAGCACAACAAGCGATTGAGGAAGAAATCAGATCCAATACACAACGGGCCTGGAAGGCTATGAAACAGGATTGTCATGAGCAGAGGGACCCCGTTCTCAGGGAGGCTTTGCGAGAGTCCTACTGTCAGATTTGGCAGGATCCGCACCAAGCCTTCTCCGAGCTGCTGGATGACCTCAATATACGATGGAAAAACTGGAGAGCGAACGAGCCCTCGTGGCAAAGAAAGCCCCTGGGCGACTTCGCAGTCTCATACCTTCCGACTAACTTCGTGCTCGTCCCTCAGGTCCCCAGTTGCACACTGCCCCCTGCCCCCGTCCTGCTCTGACCCTCCTGTGCTCCTCGGCATCGCCGCCCGCCTCCCCCCCCCCTCCTGCGACACCCCTCCCGGTTTCCCCCTTTCCCACATCGCCCCCCCCGTCTCCCTATTCTCTATCCCTGCTATCAGACCATTTCTTTCGCAGCTGTTGACGCCGGGGACAATGACAAGCCTTAATGCTGCTGTGACGGGTCCTGTACCCAACATGAGGACAGACAGCACAACATCCTGACATACTGCCTCGACCCCAAGTGCGAAGGTGGACAGTGCAAGTACCCCCCCGATCAACGCCGGCTGCATTCTGCAAAGTTCGGAGGTGGAAATCACCTGTAACCTCACGGGGACGACATCAACAACGGTGTGTCTTTGCAACTGGTACGACGACGACGGCACCAACAAACATGGCAGATGCGCGGGCAGGCGGGTGGTGCTCCTATTGGCTTTTTACTTGACCAAGTTCACAGTGACTTCCAATAAAAGAGACTGCAATGTATTAAGGTTTTTTCGGCTGAAGGGGTTAGATTGTGTTCCCCGAATCCCCCGTGCAACGACGTACCAGAAAAGATCATGACATATCAGGCGCTCACAGGATGAGTGAAGAGGAGCAGAAGGTTCAACTGCGGAATTGGGGACACAGAATACTCCCTCACTTTGCAACAGTCTCAAAAGATAATTCATACAGGCTGACACTGTTTAACAATGTTCGGAAACTCATGTTCCAAAGGGTGGGGGCTGGGGAATGGGAGGTTAGCTTTGCCTGCATGCATTGGGACCCGATCGTCGGTGGTGGAGCCCGGTCTCATGAATAAAGGGAGATGGCAGTCATGGGGCTTGAGTTTACCACCACCCATTTCAAGCTGTCAGGTAGGCAAACGATTAAGACATTGGAAAGGTGTTTAGCCTGATTGACAGGTACCCTCCTCTCAGGATGGACTATATAACTTCTGATTACCGTTGACAAATATCTGTGTGAACAAGGAATCATGCTGTTCTGGGATGCTGGACCCGGTTTCCAGCAGGTGCAGCTCCCCACCAATAGATGGAGCCTCCCCGAGAGTGATAGCGGTGTCTGCTCTTATCAGCACCCCTACCACGTCCTCGGGGATCGGAAGTAAAAAAAAAAAAAAAAAAAAAAAAAAAAAGACTTTGGTAGCAGATGGCTTGAGGACCTCCGGAGGGAAGAAGAAAAGGACTGGGATGTCTGGTCAGCTCACCCCGCCAAGGTGGTGATGGGTGATGGTCCTGGGTGGTTAACACTAGGGTTGGACAGGCCTGGGGGGGTGGAGGTGCGCTAGGGCAAAAGATGAGAGGAAGGGTGGGGTGGGTCCTCAGAGGGGTTCATCTGGACAACTGAATGGCCAATTACTGTGGGTGACTGTCATCTGTCGAGTATCTCACTTTTTTTTTTTTTTTTTTTTTTTTTTTGAAAGGCTAATTCTTTAAGCCCAACCAATTCAATTACCTGTCAAATCTGGACAGGACGGCCTTTCAGGCCTTTTTTATTGTCATTATAGTATTGCAGTGAACCCCGTAGCAACCACATCCGCGCTCAAGCCTCCAACGAGGGAACATGCGGGAGCTGCACCCACCAGCAGGTGCAATACCTGCTACAGCAGGTGGGCAATACCCGCCAGGGGTCAGCCGTTAGCATCAGGAGCGAGCTTCTTCGATGGGCCAGTCACTATGCCTCCCCTCCAGTCCCCTCCCCCTATGAACATCAGCAGTTTCTGCTCAATGCCACTCGGGGGGACCAACAGCATATCTCTAGGTGGCGGGCGCCAAGCTTGCCCAGGAAGGTGCATGAGGCCAATGGCGATTGAACCCAAGACCTCCTGAATGCCACTTCCGTGCCTTACCAACTGAGCTAGGCCGCTGGATAGTATCTCACTTCTACAACAACCTGGGCTTCAAAAAAAAAAAAAAAAAAAAAAAAAGGACTGGGAATCAGAAGCTCAGCTCAGAACACAGTTGCGCAGACTTTGCAGAGTCGAACAGCATCAGCAGAAACTCATGAATGTCATCCATACAGATTGGCTTCATTTGCTTGATTCCCGGAGTTGTGACCCTCCAGGACTGTGCTATAAACCTGTGCGTGATTCCGGAGTTGTGGCCCTCCGGGACTGTGGTATAAACCTACACCTGACCTCACAGAGAGAACTGTATGGAAGGTAGTTGCCCTCAGCGGATAGGCCTCCAAACAAACTCTAAATGGAAAAGATACCTGAAATAGTAATGGAAGGTCAACCAATCTAGAGGAGGAAATCTCTTCTTATCCAGCAGCCTAACTCAGTTGGTAAGGCTTGCAAGTGGCATTCAGGAGGTCGTGGGTTCAATCCCCATTGGCCTCATGTACCTTCCTGGGCATGCTTGGCGCCCGCCACCTAGAGATAGACCACTGGATCCCCCGATTGGCATTTAGCAGAGTCTGCTGATGTTCATAGGGGAGGGGACCTGAGGGGAGGCACAGGGATTGGTCCTGTTGGTATGGTCCCTGATGCTACCGGCTGTCCCCTAGCCGGTATCGCCCACCTGCAGGTCGGGAGCAGCCCCCGCATGTTCTCTCGTGAACACGGTTCTGGCTGCTACAATTAGGAGTAGTGGTAGGTAGGTAGTGTGAGGTGAAATTGTGAAAAGGCGACGTGTTTTGGAAAGCCCAGGTTGTTGTAGAGGTCAGACTCTGGGGCCTCAGCCGACTAGCATCTGTTTGCATCGGAGGCGACGTGTTTTGGATTAAGTGTGGCGGCCTGTGACACCCCGTGGGCATTGATGCGTCTCCCAAAATCTTTGGCTCATATGTATTCTAGCGATAGCAGTTTTTTTGTTTTCATTTCGGTCAATGCCACTTCGAGAAAAAACGTCCATAACGGAATTTGATAATACGAGGCACTGTAGCAGTGACGTGGTTTTGTCTTTTTTTGGGGGGGAGGGTTGATATCGCGTCGAAGTTTGGTCATCCACATCTCAACAAGAAAAACATTAAGTTTTGGGGAGCGTCTTGTACTTCGAGTTTTTTTTTTTTTTTTTTTTTTTTTTTTTTTTTGGGGGGGTGGGGTTTTTTTTTTTTTTGGGGGGGGGGGGTGTGTTGTTTGGAGTTTTTTTTTTTTTTTTTGGGGAACAAATGTACTTCGAGTTTTTTTTTTTTTTTTTTTTTTTTTTTTTTTTTTCGAGATGTACGTCGAGTTCATATGGGAGTATTCTGTTGTTCGAGTCAGGGCCTAGTTGCACTACTCACCATCCGTCACATTTCGTGGCGGATCCGTGGAGAGTGAAAAATATGAGAATCGTGTCGAACTCGAGGCCTGGTTGCACGCACTCTGCCACGAGATTTCTTTTACAGAAACGTAAAAACATTTGTCTCCCCCATGTCGACTCGTGAAGCCCTGCACCCTCCAGAAAGCTGTTTTGTGGCGAGGTTCGAAGACCACCCTCCACAAACCGCCGTGCACAGGGGGGGAAACTGAATTCACTCTCCACAAGTTGTGTCGACGGTGTGGCGAGCCGTCTGACACATTTTGCATTCCCCAAGTTTGGCGAGTAAGTGCAACCAGGCGCCTACTCGCCAAACTTGGCCTATGGCGGCTAGGCCCTCAGGCCACCGTGTGTTACGGTCCGCGAGCGTTACGTGCGCTGGGATGAATCTCACAACGCGCGGCTTTCCCTATATGGAAAGTATGTTGCAGTGTCGAAACGTCACTTCATTATTTGCCTCGGCCAATGTTTTTCCATGCATGCCACCGTTCCCTTTTTAGCACGGCCGTTCGCGTGGTCTTGCAGCCTCCTTCTGTGTGCACGGCCATTCCATACGTCAGACTAGCACCGGTTGAAGTTTGGCCATGCCCCTCTCCGTTAAGCTCATCTTTGCATCCAATGTCCATCACCTGCCTTCCGTTCGTCACTCATCCTCCCTCTGTTGCCTTGCCATACATTGGTTTTGTACTTCGGCTCTCTCTTCGTCTACGAACTATGCCTACAGATGGTCACCAGGAAGGTCTGTCCTTCATCCAGGACTGGGGGTACAGTGAGTCCCAAATCCCTCTGGTTCCCGGTGGTGGGACGGCCGCTGTCCCACCAGGGGCATTCCGAATCACCGCAGGAAACGATGAGGACTCTCTGAGTTCAGTCTCGTACCGAAACACAGTACCATTCAGACGATACCCTGGGGACCCAGGTCCCTCCTTCACACATTTTTTACCGAGGGGGACGTGGTCCCACAGTGTTTGGAACCTGGGGGGGCTTGGCCCCTCTCCGGTCTCGCATGAAGGTGTGGGGCTGTCTCCCCCTGTGAATGTGACATCCATCCATCATCATTCGCATGTCACACCTGCCCCGTCGTCCCTACCTGGGCAGCCCGTTGGCGGGTTCATGTTCAATGTGGGGACAGGAGATGAGAATGGCCTCAGAGAGCAGCTGTGGCGGCGGGCAATGGCCATGGCTGGACTCTTCGTCGTGTTCGATGTTCAGCATGGACAGATCCAGCTCAACGGGTTCGTTGTGTCTCCTACACCCTCTTCACATGACATCGGCAATCACGATGCTCCTCCATGCTTGTCACCTGTGACACCTACGTCAGGCGGCCAGACTGTGTCACTCTCTCACGAAATTGGATGTACCACTCCTCCGCCTCATATGGGCGTTATGGACCGTCCAGAGGGCCAACCACGGTGTTCCAATTCTGGCAGCAGCAGTGGGGGGGCTCAGGGAGTGGAGCAGGAACCTGATAGTGAGTACATCATCAATCGATTAATTCGAGACGTCGAAGGCGGTACATTTCCAGGGAGCAATTTTGGTGTGGATGCCGGTGACAGGCAACAGCGACCTCCGCCCACCCCGCCTGCAGGGGCATCTCCCTGTGAAGGTGACAATCTCGGCCGTGCTTCTGGCAGTCCGAATCCCATTGCAGATAAGTCTGGTACCCAGCGCATTCCCTCGCCTGCCGCGAAAAGAGGTGGGGCACAAACACAAGCGAGAGGCGGATCTTCTAGAGGAAGCCCATCGCCGGCGGAGAAGAACTTGGAGCGGTGGGGTGAGGAGGAGACAGCGGTCCTTTGTAGGATTCGCAATGAGGTTAAACAGCTGATGGGTGATGAGACGGAGGCGTTTGGGAGGGCTCGTATAAAGGCCGGGTTTTGGAAGATGGTTGCGCAGTGCATGAACGAGAAAGGACTGATTCGAACTCACGATCAATGCAAGAACAAGTTCAATCAGGTTGACTTCTACAGGAGATTGAACTTCAAAGGTCATGAGAGGTGGTCGGGGATACCCAGTTACTGAGACACGAATGCCACTATGCGCAAGGCGTACAATGTGGATTTCGTGCTGCATCGAAGTTGGTATGACACCATCAATTCTGCAGAACAGGACACTGACTCTATAAATGTGTCTCGACTGCGGGACCCGTGTGCCGAGCAGGAGCAGCGAGAGGTGACGGGCATGACGCCACCTACGGCGGTGATGAAGACCCTGGCGGGATTGACGGGAGAGCTTCGCAATCTGATGGAACACGGTCGACTCCTTTTGACACCACTGTAGGCAAACGCAAGAGAGCTGCCACCAATGCCCGCGATTCCAGCTTGGGGGCTATCACCGGGGCAATGAGGGACCACACTGTGGCGTTGACACGTTCAGATCGTGAGTGCATGAAGATGCGCTGTGATGCGACCCCTGACGTCGCACGACAGCAGGAAGTCCAAAGAGAAACTATGCAGCAGGACATTGCCTCCCGTGAACGTGTTGTGAATATAATGGGGGACAGGGTTGAGAAGGTTTACATGGCCATAGCCGATGCCATTTGCAGTCTCCGTGGTCCGGACAGAAGGCCGCGTGATGGGGCCAGCCATTTGAACGTTCCCGATTAGTACAATTATCGGTCGTGTATTTTTAACGATGTTAGAGTACCACAACAACGGGATAGCTTTTTTTGTGCATGCGACCAGTTGGGGAGGTGTACTATGGTCGTGGTTCGATGCCAGATGGGCATCATGTTGAACATCTCATTAATGTACACTAGCTATTGAACAACTCTGTCTGTTTGTTTTTCCTGCAGTTCTTATTTATTATTTTGAAATATAATTTTCACTTGTTTTTAATTTTCGGTTCAGTTATATAGGTCTTCTGTAGCTTTTTTTTCTCCGGAATGGAGCATGCTGTTTTCGGGTGTCGTTCGGAACCAACATTATGGTTTTGTAATCGGGGCCCTCTCATGTACTTCATTACGCCTTCGTCCATATGACTCTCTCTCTCTCTCTCTGTCTCTCTCTCTCTCTCTCTCTCTCTCTCTCTCTCTCTCTCTCTCTCTCTCTCTCTCTCTCTCTCTCTNCTCTCTCTCTCTCTCTCTCTCTCTCTCTCTCTCTCTCTCTCTCTCTCTCTCTCTCTCTCTCTCTCTCTCTTTCTTTCTCGTGTGCGCCATAGATCGGATCTTCAAGGGTCTCTATGGTGAAGGGGTCGCTTGGTCCATGCTCAAGTCGATTCGCGGGATACACTCCCTGCTCGGTAGTGCTGTCACGGTGCTGCTCTTACTTCGACTCCAAGTAGCGTGTTAACCACCGCGTTGATAATGGCTTGGTGGATTCGCTCATCGGAAGGCTTCAAACTTTTTTTTTTTTTTTAACACGCCCCCACCAGTGTTAGTGGTACTGATAAGAGCAGACACCACTAGCACCTGGGGAGAGGCTCCATCTATTGATGGGGAGCATCACCTGCTGGAAAACGGGTCCAGCATTGATTATCTCAGAAAAAACACAATCGTGGGAGACTCCTGCCAGCATTGATTATCTCCGAACCACGAACTTCAAGCCAGAGGTACCTTTAATCCAAGAACCATAGGCGTCATCATCTTCCACACTACTTCAGCAAGTACGCTCGTCGTTTTCCAGGTATTGTCATCCGGCTGCTCCGAGACTCGGTGCCGACTAAGTAATGGGGGACAATTTTACCCCGTACGGAGCCTGCTTCAATTGCAAGCAGCATGGTCATTGGGCAAGGAACTTCCCTTACCCGAGAAGAGATCATAGTCTCATCTCGGGACGTCCAATCTCTGGACCAGCTCTTGGGAACGTTGCTGCTCGTACCCAACCATTACTCTCTCCCCCTTCTGCATCTCTTCCCCAGTATGCTCCTTCTTCTCCCCCCCTCCCTACTTCCTCTTCCTCTTCTTCCGCACGTCCATCCTTCCTCACTCCCAGCAACCCTCTCCCTCCTCCTTCCCCTCCCGTTCCTCCTCGTCAAACTCATGGTCACAATCCGACGACATCAATCTCTAACGCTCTCGTACCTTACCATCCCCAACAGTTTTCCTCTAATTATGGAGGGTCTAATTGGAACTCTTGGAATCCGCGTGGGTGAGGTACTGACAACGAGATGATCACACTACTGCGCGAGCTGGCCTACGGCCCTACGATAGTCGGGAAATGAGGGAGATAGGAGGTTGGAGAATGAGCGGTGAGCGAGAGAAGAACAGGAGAGGATTGCCAGAGAAGCGGAGGCAAAGAGGGCTGAAGACGAGGCTAAGAAAGAAGCTGAGAAGGAGGCTAGATTGGCCAAGATGATGGATGAATGGTTGTTGGATTTGGAGAAAAAGAGGGAAGATGAGAGTAAGAAGCTGTGGGAAAAGATTGGGAAAGGCAAGGAAAAGGAACCTGAAAAGTCGGAGGCAGTGTAGGCACCGGCGGTTTTCGAAAATAAGAAACGAGGTCAGGTTGAGATGGCTGGAGCGACAACTAGTCCGCCATCCACCCCTCGTCAGCGGGTTAACGAGGTCTGTGCACTTGATGTCGGGCTTTTGCTCATGAACATAGATAATGTTCAGCGAGCAGCGCCGAGCACAGACCCAGCAGAGCAAGTTACTCGAGAATCAGCAAGCTCAGCAAGACGTCATGTTGGAACGCATGCTCGGAATGATAGAAAAATTGGAAGCCTCCCACCGCGCAATCCTGTCTAGCGTTCAGCCGCCACCTGCTCAGGCTACACCTAATCCCGCTGGTCCTTCTGCGGCACCTCCTCCCCATCCCCCCCGCTCATTCCGCCAAGTCCCTTCTATCAGGATCATCCCTCCTGTTCCTCCCGCACCCGTTTTTGCCCCTGCCAACTGGAAGCACCCGTGCATGTGACAACCCCCACTCAACCCGGTTCGACCGTCCATCCCGTCTCCCCCGATCCACCTCAAAGACAACCCCCTCCACCCCCTCGTTCAAGAAGTCCCCTGCCATCTCCCCTACCTTCTCACCCTCCCTCTCCCCCTTTCTCTCCTCCTCCCCCACCTGCACCGCCCACAGCACCTTCTGCAGCTAGAAGAACAACCAATGAAGATGCTGCCCAGGGAACTGTGAACCGTCCTGTCACACGGAGCATGCCTCCCCCCTCACGGGAGGCCGACAGGGATGCTCCAGGACCATCAAGGACCCAGACACCTGCGTCAGGGAGGTCCACGGGAAGGCTAGCCGATGTCTTTGCGTCGGTCGCAGGAATAGCAAGACGTGTTTCTGGTTCGTTTTTTGCTGTTCGTATCGGTACTACAGGCGGGTTGGGCTTTGATCGCAGGAGAGAAGGAACCAAGGTAGTCGTAGCCAACCTTGGTCCGGGCGGATGCCTATTATACTAGGAGGATAGGGAGAAGGAACTCATGGCAAAGTACAAGCAAGACTTGGTCGAGTTATGCAACCGCGATAAAATCAGGTACCACAACCAAAAGGAAGCTGTTGCTGATATGACCGCCATCTAGGTGAGAGATGCATACGGCGTAAGTCAGGAGGACCACATAGGAAAAACAATGGAGGAGTCCCAAGAAGAGAATCCTTCTTGAGTCCTACCACGATCCCAAGTGGTTATGGCGTCCAGTACATGATTTATGAGAACAATAAGAAGGTAAAGGGGTGAGAGGGGAAGGGAAGCGATTGATGGAGGAGCGGTCAGACTCAAGGATGGTACGTGGGAAGTAGGACAGTCACTGTCCATTTCCCAGGGAGCGGTGTATGGGGAAGTGAGAGTGTTGGGTACTACCTCACCTTTCACAGAGGGACACACACACACACACACACAGAGAGAGAGAGAGAGAGAGAGAGAGAGAGAGAGAAAGAGCATCTCCCGTACCTGCATCGACGCGCCACCTTTGTCAGCATCTGGTACGCACACAGAGAGAGAGAGAGAGAGAGAGAGAGAGAGAGAGAGAGAGAGAGAGAGAGAGAGAGAGAGAGAGAGAGAGAGAGAGAGAGAGAGAGCATCTCCCGTACCTGCATCGACGCGCCACCTTTGTTAGTATATGGTACGCATCTATATATATATCGTCAAATAGAACTGCCCGGTAAACCGTAGGTATATATATATATATATATAGTTTGTGACGATATATATATATATATATGACAATATATATATATATATATATATATATAGAGAGAGAGAGAGAGAGAGAGAGAGAGAGAGAGAGAGAGAGCATCTCCCGTACCTGCATCGACCCGCCACCTTTGTCAGTATCTGGTACGCTGAGAGAGAGAGAGAGAGAGAGAGAGAGAGAGAGAGAGAGAGACAGAAAAAGAGGAGGAAGTGAAAGAGAGAGAGACACAGGCAAGCTTCCTCCTTTTTTTCCATTTTTTTTCCCTTTTTTTTTCCTTTTTTTCCGTTTTTTCTTTTTCTTTTTCTCGAGACATACGCGCCATAGCTACACGGGGCACCCTTGTCTCGGCTCGTGCCACTGGCGATGGCAGAGTCCTGACCGCACTCACCCTCTGCCACACACCCACGCGCACACACACACAGACTTGTCCGCACACTCTCTGTCACACCCACGCACGCGCACACACACACACACTCTTGCCTCTATGACACACACGCACACACACAGGCAGACAGGCAAACTTCGTCCCATCTGTGTGTGTGTGTTTGTCTGTGTGTGTATGGGCCTGCTCCACTACTCTCGACATGCACAAAAGACAAAAATCATGGCTGTGTATCTTTACGTCTTCTGGCGGAAGATTCACTCTCGTTTTCCACATTTCGAGAGTAGTGGAGCGAGGCCCTATGTGTGTGTGTGTGTGTGTGTGTGTGTGTGTGTGTGTGTGTGTGTGTGTGAGAGAGAGAGAGAGAGACAAAAAGAGGGCATCCCCTAAATGTGCAAAATGAGAATGAACTTCCCGCTAGAACATGGCCACATACGCCCGCCACCTTCTATCGCAACAATGTGTCTTTTTTGTCTTTTTTGTTTTTTCCTTTTGTCTTCTTTTGTTTTTTTTTTAATCCGATCGACGCAAAAAAAAAAGGAAAGTCTTTTTTTTTATGCTATCGACGGCGGGCGCGTCGAGATATTCATCCGCATCGACGCCGTGTACCCGGCCCCGTGGGCGCGCTCTGTCGTTTAGTGGCGCGCTGTGAACGATTCGGTACGCGCGCCACTCTGCACGCCCACCCGCCGTCGATCGCCTTCATCCGCCGGCCCGCGCCGAAACTTCGACCCCAAATCCGGCGCGCAGCGGACCATCGACCTCCCCCCCGCAGCCAATGATGCTTAAGGGTTAGGAGATATATAAACAAATATATATATCGTCAAATAGAAAATCCAATATTTCATTTTATTTCTTAGCTTAAAAAATGAGAGTGAAAAAGAGAATCATGTAATGAGTCAATATTTATCTATAAATCCAAAAGATAATTCAAATAGTAATACATAGAAAAATCATACATTCTGATGGAGACTCAGGTGTTTGCTGTAAAAATGGGACGCTGGACCCCATTTCCAGCAGGTGCAGCTCCCCACCAATAGATTGGAGCATCCAGCAAGACTGCTAGGGGGAGGCGCTCGTATCACTCTCCCTAGCAGCCGGACTGTTTTTCAAA